GAGAGAGAGAGAGACCGATTTCGCCAAGCCGTTGATCGAAATATAAAATACAGTGCTCACGCGCCTCGCGAACGTGGATGTAAACACGATAACGTGCGCTTATTCTCATAAAGCGTAAATCGGCCGATCGAGCGGCCTAGCGAAAACAAAACACACCGTGCTGCCCACGGCAATTTCACATCGCGGGTACATTTCAGGAACGACACACTAGCCACGTGTTCGAAGAAAATGCAACGGGTGAGGGAATCGTAAAAACGCAATTTTTAAGCTGACAAAATCCGTGAGACTTCGAAATAATAATACGTGAAATACTGCCCTTCGAAAGTAATCATTTTCTCGGACGCATATTGTTTCAGAAGGTGGAAAATTACAGGTATGAGTTAGAATTAATAAAAATTAAAATAAAAAATATATTTATATTTAATTATTTCGATGTTTAACTCTGAATTCTTTTGCTAAATTATATTGGTTTTTCTCTCGCGAGCGAAAGTCATATGTGTCTGTAAGAAAGGAAAACAAATATGCTTCTGATATTATGATGTGAATATACCGGGTGTCACCAAAAGTGAGGCTGCATCGAGGCTGGATCATACTGGAAGATTCTCTACTTCTGATGTATTATCCTAAGATTTTCTATTTTTATTTTCAATTAATTTGCGATTAATTAATATACAATTCTGCAATCAAATCGATTTTTCTCTTCATGATGACTTCATGTACCAGTTTCTTCTAAGGAAAGACAAAGCGAGGCGCGGCCCGAGTTCGACGAATAAACTTTCGATCATGTAGAACAAATGGATGAAAACGGAACGAAATATGAAGTGAACGACAAATGGAATGAGCCAGTCAGGATGATAATATAATGCATACAATGCACATATCGTCGATGCTTAGTATCCTTTCGACCGCTATTTCTAGAGTTGTGACACGTGTCACTTCACATATACGACACATGAAAATACTTTCTAAGCCTATTGTGATGAAAATTGAAAAAAATTCAAGACTATTGTAATTTAACGTATTTTACACAAGTTGAACGAATCAGTTTCTCAAATATAATAAACTGGGTCCTTTTTATTTCTACAAAATACCTAAAAAATTAACTATTTATTAATTTAAATCTTTAAAAGAATTTCGGCTTAACAATCAGTCTTTAAAATTATCTATTATTTGGATGGAAAATTATATTAATTAACATCTTACATCGAGCATTTTCCTTTCATGATTCATCTGCCTTTTTCTTTATATATAATTTTATTGGCATTTCTTCTACTTCTTTCTCTCAAAATTCAAATCTAATCTAGTCGATTGTCTTTTTAAAAGAAATGCTGCGATCAAAAAGAAATGCTGTGTGTTATGATAAATGTCGTATCTAAATGTATAAAAAACTGAATTAACTTTATTTAAACTAGCTATTGATCGCTGATGCATAAATATTAGGAGATTTTTAAACGTTTGAGATTCTCGCTAAAGCAAAATATTATAGGCGCGAAGAGCGGAGCGAAACGGAAGGAAAGCATGGAAGGAAGATGAAGAAGAGGAAAAAGAAAAAGAAGAAGAAGGGGGCGGAGTTAAATCGAGTGAGTTAGATAAGAAGACTTGTGTGTGGTGTACTCGTAAAGGGTACACGCGTCAGCGGAGTTCGTCAGTCTGCGGACAAGCGTCTGCCGAAATAACGAGAGCGGTTTAAGTATCGCGTTGTAGAGACATTTACATTTGCCAACAGTAGTATATATCATTGACGCGTGACAACTGTCTAACAAGGAAACAAAGTAACGAAGTTGAAGTCCTCGGAAATAATATCGGTAAACAAATTGACGAGTGACGATACGCTAAATGAGAGGAAGAGCCAGGCCCTTTCTTTGCGAAGAAGAAATAATAAAATTATCAATTTACAACGGAATGGATAAAGAATAAAACGGTATCGAGTATCGAATAAGAGCGCGGTGCATGCGGTTTAATTAGCAAGAAAAAACAGGCTTGTTTGAAGAAGTGGAATTGCAGCTATCGAGAGCCGATTACGAAAGGAAGAAGAGGATAATTGGGACGAATTGTTCGGAGATAGCGAACTTAATTGGAGGCCATAAAATACCGCGGTAATTTCTGTGGAGGAATACCTTTCGCGAGTTAACAATAGCTAACAATGTGGCATCACGAAAACGATTCGGTATAAGCTCCTGCTTCGAGGCAAAGCCAAAGTTCGCATTGTTGGCGGCCGTTGGATGGGAATAGTGCTTCGAGAAGGTCACAAAAATTTATCGGGACTAACGGGGTATGTTCTTAACGAGAGAGCGCAAACGAACGAGAAGAGATATGGAAATTAATTGATGTGACACGCGTGATAAAGTGCTCCTGGATATATATATATATATATATATATATATATATATATATATATCTTGTAGGGATGCTTGAGGGCTCCTCTGCCTCTCTTTTTGCCGCGTGAAAATTCAGGGAGTTAATAAGCAGGGGAGCAGATAGAAACCAATGAATGAAAGGAGAAGAAACGAGACGCATAAATGAACACAAGTGGATGAGAAAAGTTGGTGTATCTATATTTGCGTGCAACGCGAGGATCATTGACTCGGTCATAATTATTCCATGAAAAATAAATGAACTCTATTGAATTCTATTGCTATCTCTCTTTGAGAGAAAGATTTGTTTTCCAAAATTGAATTAAAAATTTATTTAATTTTATTCACAGGGATTTATTTTATTTAAATTTAAATAAATTAATAAATCTTCAAAATGGAAAGCTGATTTTCACAGTTCTCGATCTTTTTTTCTATTTCTTCCTTATTATTTTCATCTCTTTCAATTTTCCATAAACTGATCATCATAAGTTGAAAAGTGAAAATTAGGAAAATTTTTCAGAATATTAAGATAAGATAAGAAACTTTTAATGTACTTTTTTATTTTTATATTATAGCACGTGAGCCAGAATTTTTGATTTTCCGAAAAATGTGAAGAAAAGAGGATCACTTTCTGTGTGTAAAAGATGGGGCACTTTGCGGCAAACGACACGATTTTCGAAAATGGAGACTTCAAGCCGTTTGCGCGATCCATGACTATCGTTGCTGCTGTTTGCGCTATAATCTTTAGCATTATTGGTGTATTAGGTAGCAAGCCTTCTTTAGCCTTCAATCATTTTATTTTAGAGCGACTTTGAATTTTTAACAACAAGCTGAGCCTATATCTAAATCCATTCCAGGTAATTTAGTGACGGTAATTGCATTATTAAAATATACCAGACTAAGACGACATGCTACGACAGCGTTTGTGATAAGTTTGAGCATTTCCGATTTGATTTTTTCGGCAGTAAACTTGCCTCTAACCGCCAGTAGATATTTGAACGAAGCTTGGGTTCTTGGCGAAACTCTATGCAAAATATTTCCTTTATTCTTCTATGGAAATGTTGCCGTATCTCTACTCAGCATGGTGGCCATTACTATTAACAGGTGAGTCTCAACAATCTTTCTTCTTTCAATGTTAACAAAATTAAATCTTTATATATATATTCTAAAAATATACATTAATATATATATTTGGAGAAAGCTATATTAATTTTTGACATATTTTAAAAATGTATAACTCTTGAACATATATATTTTTAGAATCCACATTATATATAATCACACAACTCAAATTTTGGTTTTTTTTTCCCCCAGATATATACTGATCTCACAATCAGACATTTACAACCAGTTGTATACTAGTCGCGGCATAACGGTGATGTTAATAACTATATGGACCCTGAGCTTTCTGATGTTGCTACCGCCTTTGTTAGGGGTCTGGGGTACTCTAGGATTGGATCCAGCCACCTTCTCGTGCACCATATTGAGAAAAAATGGTTCCAGCCCGAAGAAATTTCTCTTCGTTCTGGGCTTCATTGTACCGTGCGTGGTAATTAGTGTTTCGTACCTCTGCATTTATTGGCGGGTTCGGAAAAGTCGGAAAAATCTCGAAGCTCATGCGACGGAAGGCGAGCGACGAGGAGGTGGCTTTCAACGGCGGGAGGACTCGAGAGTTACCAGACTGATGCTTACTATATTTCTTTGCTTCCTGATGTGCTACTTGCCGCTGATGCTGGTAAATGTGATCGATGATAAAATGAAGATTCCGATACTTCACATAGTAGCATCTGTACTCGCATGGGCATCCGCGGTGATAAACCCTTTCATTTATGCTGGCACCAACAGATTGTACAGAGAGGCATACAAACAGGTTTTATGCCCCGTTTCGAGCAGAACACCCACAATCGGCCCGAAACCAGGACATTCTCACTCGAGCAAAGTCTCATCGCCTCATACTACGTGAAGATTGTCCGCTTCGATGATCAGCGATTATCTTGAATGAAAAGCGATAACAAGTTAAAAGTTTACGCTTAATAATATTATTTTGCATATTCTTCATAGAAATTCAATGTCAAGAAATTAAATGTCTACAATGTCGAAATAATATATACAAAATTTTCTTTTATAGAGTTTAACTCTATATCCTATTACAAGATCTGCTAAATAACAGACCTCTGTTTGATTAAAAGTTTGGATTCATGATTCCACAGATTAGTTTACAAAAAAATACAAAATTTATTTCGGCAAGTTAAAAAATAAATGTTATTTTTTTGTTAATTAGAAATAAATTAGAGTGAGAAAAAAGTGTGTATAAAAATTATATTTTTTGCTTTAACACATAGATATTATAATATGTTATAATACAATGTGACATAATATTTATATAAAAAAACTTCTGCATAATATAGAATCATATATGTTTCTATAAAAAAAAGAACATATACAATAAAAATAGATTGGCAAATTTAAAAAATACATACTAGAAAAATGATATTGCAACTTAAAACAAGAGTACAATTTATGTGGCATAAAAATAAATGCAGTATCAAGATAATAAATAAAGATAATCAAAATAAAATTTAAAAGAAAAAACATTAAAGTTTCCAAAAGATCATATCTTCTGTTTAACATTCAAATTTTTTATACCAATTTGATTTGTTCATTTAAAGACATATACATTTTAAATGTACGTATATTAATTTAGTAATAATATATTTGTACTCTTGATACGACAACATTATTGAATAAGTACGACGATACGAATATCTATAAAATATTAATAATGAAAAATGTCATAATAATTTACATTTGTAATTTTGTAACTATTAGGTAATAAAGTATTCTCTCTGCCATGGAGCTGTCAATTAAAATCTCACATAAATGGATTGACATTTGTGAATAAAAATGTGATATAAAAACATTGAAAATAAAATTACTTTTTACCATAATGTTCATGTCATATTTGTGTAAATATCTTAATTGTGTTACTTATATGCTAATCTTAACTGTCTTTCACTAAACATGGACGGAATTAGTATAAATGCTTTCGCAACATTTATCTTACGTTACTTACGTTACGTTACTTACATTATAGTAAAATTTATATATTCGTGATATCAGAGATAAAATATAGATATATGCCACATAGAGATATACATACATTGGTAACGATGAAATCTACGAGATTCCCGTGAACACAATGAGATATTTACAAATCGCAATTTGATACGTTACTATCAAGTAAATGCAGATGTGCCTGAGTATGCAAATAAGAATGTTAATTCAACTCCAATTCCGGTATATAGGGCTCCGTAATTGCAGTAATAGGACAAATACTCAAAGTATCCTGTAAGTAAAAAAAAAACATGTATAAAGAAATAATTTAACGCGACACATAAAATCGTACTTTCTCTCCTTACCAATCGCGTGAGTTCGTCAAAGGTCGGCCGATCTTCGGGATCGTTTCGCCAGCAGGACAACATGACCTCGTAAATCGGATCTGTGACGTCCAACAATTGTGGTAACCGAATGCCTTGCGTAACCGCATTTTCCACTTCGCTGTCGAGCGTTAGATTCGAGTACGGTGTACCGCCCATGCTAAATATCTCCCAGAGAAGTACACCGAACGCCCAGATCACGCCCGGTTGATGTTTCTTTTGATTGTCGAAGCATTCGACGGCGGTCCATCTTGCGTATTTCATGTCTTCCAAGGCGTACTTGGAAATACCGTGACCCGTGAGTTTCGGTGTCCAGTCGCTCGTCAGCCCCACGCTTCGCGCGCAGAGCCGATTATGGATGATCTTGTGAGTCGCCAAGTACTGCAAGGCGACCGCTATCAAAGATGAGATGGATAGTACTCGATCTACCGGAAACGCGTCTCCGGATCGCGCACCCAAGAGACGGTTCTTCAAGATCTGCGGTGGCAGTTCCAGCACGACGTATAACGTGTCCGAGGTTTCGCAAGTTCCCACGAGGCCTGCGAGATACTTCATGGAGCTCGCTCGGATGCACACATCTAATTCTCTCAGCATGTGCCTCTTGTCGGATCCCTTCAGGGCACCATCGGCTATCGTATGAACCGTTACCGTACAGAGGCCGTCATCCTTCAAAACGGTTCCGGTGTGCACACTGCCGAATCGTCCTCTGCGCAAAATGTGATTATCGATGGACAGCGCGTTTCGCGGTATACTCCAGACTTTCTTCTTCAACTCTTGATAGTGATTCACTCTCTCGGGAATGTCTTCCGGAATGTAGCCCATGTTGTCCACCTCATACACCGGACCCTGTAACGTGAGCTCCTGCTGCTCCGGCAGTTTTCGCATGTGAAATCTCTCGTGTCGCCGTCGCAGTACAAAATAAACCAGTATCGAAACAGCGAGTAGTATACTTAGCAACGTAATCGCTATGCAAAGCACAAGAGCCGTTGAGTCCATTTGATTCGTGACTGTCGTCTCATGGCTGAACGCGTTATTGGCCAAATCGGAATAGGAACGTTGTATTTCTGTCTGTACCCGCGAGATTATCGCCAAGCCGACTTGCGCCGAAACAAAATGGTCCTTTAACGGGGCGTTATAATAACCACCGATCATCCTCCCGTCGCCCACGGTGAATCTTTTGTATTTGTAAAAATTCGATGGATCGAACTGCGCGGTGACGTAATAATTTAAGCCCTGTTGCGACGCGTCGTTGTAGTTTAAGTACTCCACATGGGGACCAATCGGAGGTATAGTGCCAGTCTGTGCGACAACCACCTGATACGCGCTGATCGGTCCATATTCGCTATGACCCTCGGTAAGCACGACGGTGATTGTGCTGTCATCGCATTCCACCACCTCGGGCATGGCTGGTTTGTCAGGAGGACCGATCGAAGTCCATCCCACAACATAGGCCGGATCGCTAGCTCCGAGCATGTTGCTAGCGGTGATAGATATATTATATTTGGTGCCAGGCTGAAGACCTCTCAAAGTCGTCATGTTCGACGAACCTCCCTGAATCTGACTCTCGACAGGTGGCAGAATGTTGCTCGAGTGTGTTTCCACGCTAACAGCACGAACGGTATAAAACGTCACATTTCCATTAGGTATGTCAGGTGGCTGCCACGTTATTATGAGAGCGTCTATGCCGTCTCGAGTTACCTCTATTCTCCTCGGTGGACTTGGCCCTACGAAAGATATATGGATAATTTTCTTTCATGTAACACACTCTGCAAACTTAATAGCAATAATATTAAAATAAAAAAATCGTACCTTGCTGACCAGTAGCATAAACACTCATAGCTTCGTAGCTGCCACAATAATTATCCGGATCAGAGGCACAGGGAACAGTACAACTATTTGATGGACCGTCCTGACCAAATCTACTGATACAATAACATAGTTGCCCATTCATTAACGCTGCAAACCTGTCAAACACGAGTAATTTTTAAATCTGTTTAATATATCTACCAGAAATACATTATTCTTACTTACATATAATAATAAGAACGGCATCTTTTGGTGCACTCGGCGGGCGTGCTGGCGTAGGCCAAGGCTGGAGAGGGTAACCCGTGATCGGAACTTCGAAAACAGCCCTCATACTTTTGAGCGCACACGAAACAAACTCCGCAGAAGAACAAAAGGAATGTAATTATCGTCGTCATCTTGCCAACCATTTTTTTTTTTCTTGAGTTTTATATATCGATTGCGGAACTCTCAATCCCGGCCTTCTCGTTTCGCGGCACAGCGTTATGAATTATACCTTCGGAATGTGCAGTATGAGCAAGTATGAGTCAACGTGCGACGCGGTACACGTGAAAAAGTTACGTCCGTCTTGTTGAATGGGAGTGCTCGTTTACGAATAAACCACGAACGGTCTCCCTCGAGACGCCGAATTCGCGTACGCTCATCTTCTCGCGGTTTCCAGTCTATCTATTCAATGAGGAGCACTCATTGACGAGTAAACTAGAGTAAACAACACCTGCAGTTCACGCATGAATGTACGCTCCCGTTGTCCCTCGGTTGTTGCACCCGCTGCACTTGGACTTTAAGTCAGGTTCGTGCTAATCGGAGCAAAATCGAAGTAAAGAAATTCGGAGCAAACAGAAAAAGAAATATTTATAAATGTTATGTATACACAAAAATTTAAAATTTTTTAAACTTCGATCCAGATTTCTGGATTTTACAACTTCATATTTCAATATTTTTTTTTTTTTTTTTTAATTTCTAAGACGTGTGTTATGAAGAAAAAAAGAAAGAAAAATTTAAGTAAATTTAGTTAAAGAATACTC